TTGTGTGATACGGGACCAGGGGTATTAGGGGTTGCAGAGATGTAAAATTTCAGGGCAGTTGAGAAAAACAAAATAGTAGAGTAAACTCAAACTAAATTAGAAACTAATATCCAAACTTAACTGCATATTAAACAACAGCGAAAGGGTAGGTAGTTGTGCACAGTAAAATACGGTGTTTCTTATAAGGAATTCTTACCGGACATATATGCAGAGTCATCGTATTGAGTTATATGTGTTTTTGCATAACTTTCATGCTGTCTGAAGACGAACTGGGGAACCAGAGTCGAAAATTCACACATTAAAGTACTCTTTCCCAAAAAACTTCTTTTACCGAATTATACTTCTCGGGATGCAGATTTTCCAATATATGCAAGTATCTGCATAGGCACTTCTCTAATGACTCATAATAAAAAGTATGATTTCCTTTTGATACATAACCCGCCTGTTATTGTTTATAGGCCGTAACGAAGCAGGATCTCGCTACCCAATGGGCTATCTCCAAGAATATCCGCTACAAAACAAAAACTTGTCTGCACTGGGAGAAACTAGGCACTTGTCCTGCTGGCAAACACTGTCAGTTTGCACACGGAGCTGCTGATCTGCGACAAGCGAAGGATCATCCCAAATTCAGGACTCAGCTCTGCGTTCACTTCGCTTCAACAGGCTACTGTCCGTATGAGGATAGTTGCTTCTTCAGACATCTTAACATGAGCTTCTGGCCAGGCGATCTTCCAAGTTCTAAATGAGAGGACGTTAGGGCTGAAGTCCAGTTATATATTCATACGACAGTTAACCATACATTCCAGGGTATTTTTCACCACGTCATACACATCAGCTCGGAGCAACGCATTTTAATTCATCTACTTGGTTACCCGCTTTAATTATTCCACACCGCTTTTTAATAGACAGATACACGGTAATGCTTATAATGTATACGAAAACGTGACGAATTAAGCCAATATATGGTTATTTTCCCTGGCTATGCACTCCAAATATCCGAAAAAAATAAATGTTTTGATCCTTCTTTTTCACGATAATCTTTTTCATAAAAATGGATTACTTGAAAGCGAATCCGGTTCAGTATTTCATTGAAAGACATGATTTGATTATGGATGAAATATCTTAGGTCAGCATTGGAAGCATAATCCAGTGTTGCCATAGGAATAGTGCAGTACCGTAGTATAACCTCGCAGTAACTTGGTGAAAGCAAAAAATATGCTACACTTTGCTTCTTAAAATTTGACAGCAGGCTTTGTTATATGTTTAGTTCGCAGTGAGTCCTGGGTGAGAAGCGTCCCTGTTTGCAGTGTGCCTTACTCCATTGAGTTCACTTGAATGTCTTCATCCAGTCTGTCTCTTACACCTGGAGCGATGTCGTCAGGAGACTAAGGACGTGGAAATGTTGCGAATAATCTGAAGACCTCTTCGCTGACCTACATCGAATCCACCTTCGCTTACGGATATGCTAAGATGAATTTCGCATTGGATTCTGTTCCCTCCGGTCTGTTGCAATAGTGCCATATAGAGGCACATGAATGCGCCAGGCAAAAGGACCAGAAAAATTTGTATAGTTACCGATAGCGTCTGTTGCATAAATCGACCTCACAGCTGTCCTTTACAAATACCTAGTCCGTGCTGACGACATTGGCGTGTGTTGACCTTCAAATAAATATCCTCTGGTTTGAACATAGTTGTACAGTAGCTGGCCCTTCTCATGAAATGCTTGTTTTCGTTTAGAAAAAAAATATATAGCGTTGTTATAGGGATTATTGTACAAAATAATAAGACACGATGGGATGCCAGTTTTTGAGTGAACTTCATCCCGTCGGATGGAAAAAGTACACTCATGACAATATATCGTTTTAATTCTTTATACTTCTTATTTGGCCACCTAAACAGGACAGATAGAGAA